TAATATACTTTAAACAAATAATTTCAACTTTGCAATTCAGTTTATATAATACTTATAAATATTCGACAATGTTACTGTATATATAATAATCTATTTGAAAACATTTAATATTCCTCGAACATTTCGTTACGGTACGGGAAGTTCCAGCAATTTGCCTTAAGGCATGATGCCATACACCACTAGTTTTTTTTAATAACAAATTGCCTTCCCAAAGGAATTTATTATTTTAGTTTAGTTTCGCTAACTAGTGAACGGGATATGTTAATCTTGATCACTGATAGCAATAAATCTCAATACCATATATTATCACAAACAATTTAGTGATTAGTAAAATGACATCACTTATAATAAATGCATTTACAATCAGAGGTATATAAACATATATCATTGCTATATCGACGTCATGGCTCTCCGAAATGAGAAAATAAATGAGTTCGCTCTTGATTTTGTAAAGTCCAGTTTCGCGTAGAAAGTTAATGCGAGCAAACAGTGATCTCTAGAATCTCGATCGGCTAATGCTAAATTCTGCGCAGTTTTCTTGTCACTAAACAACTTATCGAGAACTATAGGAGTTTCTAGCATTTAAATCGTTCTTTATACAATTCGACATTTACCAAATATTGCAAAATTCTTATTTGTTGCCTTAAATTTCAGAAAAATGAAACATACAACTAGCGGTGCACGACAACGACAACGTGCGAATTGCTGGAACTTTCCGTACCAAAATTAAATATTCCAGCAAATAAATATCAATCAATATTGATTAATAATTAATAACTATATACTAATTTGTTCATATAATATACAGTGACACTTGAAAATGTTTGAGATTCTAAATGAATCCATCTGAGCATATATTTCTTACAATTACAATAACGCGTATGAATTTTTTTTTCCTGAAAATTTTGATTTTTTTTTTCTAAGGTGTACCAAATGTTCAGAAACCTTTGAAACGTTGAGATATGCAAAAATTTTCATTTTCATTTTTTTGTGATTAATATAACTTACCCTACGGGGGAAATGCATTGGTCTAAATCTAATATCACTGTTCTATTGTTCGCAGAGAGATTAATGGAGACTAATAGGGATTTCTCTAGAACCTTTTTAAATAAAACATATGCTATAAAAATCAAGTAGTATTTTGAATGTTAGGATACCGAAAAATTAAACTTGTCCAAAATTGAGCATGTTACTAAACATTCATTCAAAAATCGCATACTGTTTCAAATTTCAAGTTCATTTTGAAAGGTATTCTAGTCTGGAGAGGTAATTTCAAAAGTTATTAACACAGAACTAAATAAGAAATTAATAACAAAAATTAATACAAAACTTAATAAGAAATTAATAACAAAAATTAATACAGAATTTAATAAGAAATTAATAACAAAAATTCTAAATTAAAAACGATCAAAGGTTTTAATTCTAGCGGGTGATGAAGTGGTATCATAAAAATTGGCACAAATCCGATAAAAAAAGAAAAGAATGAATTCTATCGCATTCGCATAAACTAAGGATAACTTAAAAAAAATCTCAAAAAATAGCAACCGTCATGTATTTTCATACGTAATAAAATTGACAGAACTCAGATTAAAATAGTTTTAATTTCCATCATATTTCAAGATATATCGACAATAAAAGTCGGTATTACAAGTTATTAAGCAATATGCTCGACTTGCAAACTAGTTATATTTGTTTATAACACTAATCTCATTTTTCATACAGTATTATTTTTAATTTTACAATAAAACGATTCCGATATGTAATTGAACATCTATTGATAATGATTGATATAAATAATTTATATATATATATATATATATATATATATATTATATATATATATATATATATATATATATATATATATATATATATCTGTGTGTGTGTGTGTGTATCTTTTTTGAACAAAAAATCCAATAAATAAAAAACAATTTGTTCTTTGTAGATGTTTAATTACGACGTTTCGGAATTTGATGCGTTCTATCATCAGTTTTTTTTTTCTATCAAAAACAATTTATTTTATAGACTATTACTGGCGAAGAATACAGGATATTAAGTAAGAAATTTTTTTATAAACGGTACCAAACAAAAGTAAAGAACGAAATAAAACATAAAATGAGTAGCAAAAATTCTGCAATATTAGTAGGTAAATGATTTTTGCTACTTAATTTTATTTTTTATTTTTCCTTTGTATAAAATTTTCTTTACTTTTGTCTAGTACACAATCTATTGCCTGATAAAAAAATGCTTAATATTATGTATTCCTAGTTATTAATGGTGTTATTCTATATAAAAAATGTTTTTTGACAAAAAAAAACTAGATAATGGAACGTATCTAGTTCCGAAACGTCGTAATTAAACGTCGTTTTTTTATTGCTGTTTCCCAAAAATTTGTCTCCTGGTCCTTTTTACGCCATAGGCAGGCCAGTGGGCAAACAAGTCCAACGTCTCATTTTTAATTTAAAGGAATTTTACGAAATAATAGCTACATTAGTCAACCAACGCTAAATATAAATCTCATGGGTAATTTTGTTACAGAGATAACACTGAATATAACTTTGATATAGTATTTCGTCAGAAATATTCATCAGCAGTAGACTGAATAACTATTTATTTAATATATCTCT